ACACACACACACACACACACACACACACAAAGAAAAGAAATTACAACTTTTTGTTAACCAGGTGTGGTCATTTTCACAAACACTATCAACAGAAGATTTGTTCATACATTGTTTCTCATTCAAAGACATTTGATAAACTATCATTCTGCTTAAAATGGAGATCCCATCAAGTAAGCATTTATTTTGCAGGGAAAATATAGATTATCAGAATAAAATTGATCTTTCAACTGGCACCATGCTAGATATAGCAAATTAATAAATACTGAATAGTCAAGCAAAATGACCTTAATTTATGGTGTTTTATTACATATCACAGAGACTCAAGCACCATGTTATTGCTCTTATGTTAAGATGCTTTTAGTCAGTTATTATGCTCCTCAGAATATGCAAACATTTGCTGAGAGCCTATTATTTGAAAAATGAGAATTCAGATGGATGGATGTTTCTTTAGTGTGCTTTAGTGTTTATGCTAATGGTATAGATACTCATCTGCATTAGATATTACATAAGTGATATTTTTGTTAATTCGTTGACCAGAAACATATAAAAATAATGAAGCACATGCATCTTTCTATATCTGTTAGATGGACGGATGGATGGATGGATGGATAAATGTGTGAATGGACTGATTGGATAGACAGACAGATAGATAGATATCCTCCATACAAAAAAAGCTTGTAATGTATTTAGGAAAACAGGCCATATCTCAACAAGTAAATAATAATACCAGGGAACCTAGGCTGAATGCCCAAGAAGTGAGTGATTAAGATAGAAAATAGTATAAGCTGGTCTAATATATTGAAATCTGAAGTGGTTGAGGGGCAGAATTTACATTGCACATTCGTGTTAGATTAGTATTTTAAGAAGAGCACAGGGGAGAAACTGAGAAGCAGAAATTCCCCTAGTATACTGGAGAATTATTGCATAATGAAAATAAAATATTTGACTTCTAATTATAGGAATGGGCAATGCCCCTAGTTAGGAAAGCTGTAAAAAATGTAGACAAGCCATAAACTTCTATAGCTTCTGAGTAGAGAAAAGATTATGTTAAAGAAACAACTCTTCAGTTGGGTTTGGTAGATCTTCATTTCTCGAACTTTTTCAACAGGTTACTTACATTCTATGATTCTTGTCTTTCTACTTTTACATTGCCTACTCTCACTAAAAGATGTATAGATGTGGACACATTTAAATCAAAACAAAATTACAGGCAATGTTGAATACAAGCTGAAATGTTTAGTATTTTTCCGCAAGCAGGAAAACACTATGGGTGAATCTGTACACAAAAATTGGAATGTGCAGTATAGTGTCTTAGGAAAAAGATTACACTTTAGAAGCAGGCTATTTCTAGGTGGGAGAAAGCAATAAAACCAATCCTTTGGAACAGATGTAGAAAAATGCGTGTGCTTCAATATTTTTGTATGTTTCTGGTCAACAAATTAGCAGATATTACTTATCATGTAATATCTAATGCAGATGAATATGTACCTCCATTAGCATAAGCAATATAGTTTATTTATATTGTTGCCTCCACCAGAAAAAACAAAACAAAACAAAACATTGTCTCTGAAAAAATAAACTGATAAAGAAACAACGCCCCAAATTTTTACAATATCAGGCTGTGTACCCCTTGATTTATAAATTAAATTGCCATAATGATTTTTAAATTATCTAAGTCCATGCAACCCATGCCTTCTATTATGCACATCACATAACAGATACTAGTGACTGCTCATGATCACCTAAGTAAAAGGTACCATCGAATACAGTTTATTAGTAATTATTCCCTTTAATTACTGCATTTAATCTTGGGAAACACCTTTTTCCACAACTTTTCTGGTCTAAAAATAGAGATAGCTGTTTTATCAGTGCTCTGGTTCCAGTGTAGAATAAATTGTAGATATGAATGAAACATCTTTGCACTCTATCCCTTTTCCTTTGTGGATCCTTTCTTACTATTTTACAGTGCTGTAAGCTGAGTCCACCTTTTAGGAGACATATTCTTTCTTAAAACAAAATGCATTTAATTCCTCATTATCTAGCAAGGCTGTCCACTGTAATGATCTTGTTAAACGTCTATGTCTTTTTTTCCAGTTGTTTTTGTCTTCTGAAAAAAAACACTGGCACACTTTGAAGCATTTTGAAAAATCTCTGCCCTCCTCTCATCTTGCTAACCTTTAATTATGAAATTTTGGATTCCTTGAAATACTTAACATAACCTCTCCTTTCTTAGGTTCTCCATATCGAGACAAAATTACCATAGCAATTCTTCAGCTGCAAGAGGAAGGCAAGCTGCATATGATGAAGGAGAAATGGTGGAGGGGCAATGGTTGCCCAGAAGAGGAGAGCAAAGAGGCCAGTGCCCTGGGAGTTCAGAATATTGGTGGCATCTTCATTGTTCTGGCAGCCGGCTTGGTGCTTTCAGTTTTTGTGGCAGTGGGAGAATTTTTATACAAATCCAAAAAAAACGCTCAGTTGGAAAAGGTAAATGTTACTTGTTTACAGTTGAAATTTAAAACAATTTTTGTTGTTGTATTAAAACACAAACCAGAAGTGTTTTTATGTTGCCAACTAATGATAATGCTTAGAACTATTGCTCTAAATTGTCTTATGTCATTCATTATGTAACAAAATATTTTATTTTGTGAAATATAGCATATTTCACAAAAAGACTCATAGTCACCTTTAGGATTTTTTATTTAATTGTAATATATTTAATCATAGTCAGCTTCAGGAAAAATAGCTGTTTCTACTCTTATTACAGACTTAAAAAACTTCTGTTGCTTGAGTTTAGTTTGAAATACAGTTTAGTGATGAGGTTAGTGATGAGATACAGTTAATTAAGTGAGTAAAAATTGGACACTGTAATATGAAAGAAAAAATACTCTGCAGATTAAAAATGAAGTTTTATATACAATATGGGTTAACAGTTTCAAGTTAAAGAGTAAGTTTTTATCTGAATAGCTTTAGTCCAATACATTTCTAGTTAAGAAAGATGTTAACTTTCATTGGTGAAATTATAGGTAATTTTCTACATTAATGGGTGTGTGAAAATATTATAGTTTCTTTTTGCCATTTAATAGTATTCTTAATCAATTCTTCGGTTTTTTGTACCAGAGTCCTTCTAAAAATATGTATAAACTTCAAAAATATTGAGTCTCTTGCTATATTTTGCATTTTAATGCAGTCATTTGTAAAATGTTTTTTGTATTATCCTTGAAAAGTTGGTCGCCTCATTCAGATTCTGTATTTCTAGTGCTATGATTTTCTCATTTCTGTAAATACGAGGAAGACTAGGAAAACAACTCTTTCAAATGCTACATGATACTGTTTGTATGCAGATTTATTGCTCTGGATATGACGAAACCAACAGTTTAAAGCCTTCTAGTACATTATTTAATCTTTAGTATGTAAACATCTCTTTTGTTTTTGATAAAACTCACAATATTTTAGACTTTAATCACTGTGGCAGAGTGAGATGCTACAATCTTTAATATTTAAGAGGTTTATGAGCTTGTATTGGTAAATAAAAAGAGCAGAAAAGTGGTATCTTGAAAATGATGCCATACAGGAATACCAGGTAAATATTTTTTCTAATATTCATCGAAGTGTTTGTACCTTTAGAAATATTTTTTAAAATAAAAATGCTCCTTTGTCTCTAATAACTTACATCATATTTATCCTTCCTGGAATCAGAATTTTGGATACAGTATTTCTATATTTTTGCCTGATTACAGTACTTGACACTGAGGAATGTTATCATAAATGTATATTTTTATAATCCCATTTTGTCTATGACTAAAATAACCAATTAAAATGTTTGAAGAATTCAGAAAATAACATGATTTGTTTTCACAGAACATTCAGGTTGTTATTTCTGCTGGCTTGGCTAACTCAAATATTGGTTGCATTTGTGTGTCTAAGTACACTTTTTATGTAATACTCATTTTTATAGTGTCATTTTATAATGAATTTTGAAGCTAAATCTAAAGAGCTAACCAAAGAATAAATATTAACTCATTAATTACCATTTTCATTATAATTTGTCAGTGTGATATTTAATGCATTAATGTTCTATATAAGAATGAAAATCATAGAAGAAATACGTGTTTTCTACTTGGAACCTCAAATAATCCATATGTAATAATTTTCAAGTTATAGCTCAGTATTAAAACAAATTAGTCTCTTGATGATATGTGGTATTTCCACTGTACTTACCTCTATGTGTCCCGTTCATTTGATTTATCTAGGCTGATTTATCATTGATGTATCTCTAGTGCAATTTTGTTTTACAAGTATTTGGTTAAAACAAAAACAAAGGATATGAGGATTTAATTTTGTAATGTAATGTGCCTCATTGTTATTATGAACAAGTTTAGTTGAATTTTTCAGATATTATCCAGATCTCGACATTCTGTGGATCTATATGACCCTCTAAAAATTAGAAAAATAAAATTAATGTACCTTTTCAAATGGAAACAATGAGGCATTAACATTGCACTAGAAAGAAATAACTGAGTAGATATTACATGAGCATTATAGTCACTCCGCAATGCTTTGCACACTGTCTCTACATAGCTGCCACAATAAAATCCAAATTCCTTAAGTTAGCAGATGAGACCCTTTCACAGCTGTCCCTGTCCACTGCTGTAGCTTGATGTTTTGTTCCTTTCCAATTTGCACCTTTACTACAGCCACATTACATTTTAACTCTCAATTTCCCAAGATTATACTCTTCCTTTCGACTGGAGCAATTCTTGTCTATTATTCTACCTTGCAAACTCTCACAAACATTTTATATTAGGCATTTAAAATGAAACATTAACTTGTCCAGAAAGCTTTCCCTAATCAAAAGATATGATGGGTTTGGGCACAGAGCATAGCTTGTTTCTAAGAAGTGGAAGTAGGTTTTCATTTCCTACTGCAATGAAAAAAAATGTGACTCATGTATCTCATCTTTTTACTTAGCTTATTTCAGGTACTGTCATAATCTAAAAACATGTATCCCCTTTTGAGAAAGCTGGGAAGGTATTTTGCCCATGTCAAACCATTTCCAGCATTAGGTCTAGATATCTTCACTCTGTGAACCCCTAAGCACATCTCCATTATCCCGTTGACAGTATTGTATTCATATTTGCTGGTTTCTGAGTGTGGGTGCCTTTTTACATATTAAATTCTTCTTGCCTTTAGGATAAAGACCTAGTATTTTTTGTTTGTATCTCCAAGGCCTCAAATAGTGCCTGGTGGCATAATATCTATCTACCTACCTACCTATTTCTCTATTTACCTACCTACCGATCTACCTATCATTTAAATTAAGAATGAAGTTGATTGCAGTAACTTTTTTAAAAAAAGTATCATAAAGAAACATTATTTTTCTATATATTCAAAATGATAAATAATCATGAATTTAATGGAAATGATTCATTTTATTTATTCTGATAAATTAGGTTCTTGGGGCTCAGTTCTTCATTTTTCTTAAGAAAATTTAGTTTGGTCTATATGGTCTATATGGCTGTTTAACAAGTTACTTAATTTATTAAAATTAGTCATAAGATAGTCCTAGATTTTATCATCTGTTTGAGAACATACAGAAATTCAGTTTACTTTTACTTATCAAAATTGTGTCTTTAGCCTAGATTTCTTATATTTCAAAAATAAGGTAAACACTTGTGAGATCAATTATTTACTCAATAAATATTTATTGATAAATAAATATACAGTGAATTATGTTTTGCCCATTGAAGGAAAGCACGAATGTATTGGTGACTAAACACTTTGTTAGATATGTCAGATATATATGAAACTTAGTTGAATGTGAACTTTGTGAATAAAATTTATAAATAATGAATATCTTTCCATATTAAGTCTTACTTTTAATAACGGTGATAAAATTATATTAATTTATAGGTGAAAATAAAATGCCTTTTATAATACATATTATAAATACTAGTGAAAACATATAGCTCTTGATAATGATAGCCTTTCCTGTAAGTTTTTGGATAATTAAGATTAATAGGCAAATGTTTCACACTTTTAAATGAGGGCAAGTTAAAAATAAAAACAGAAAATAAAGCTGAAATATGTGGACCTTAAAGCATTTTAACAATGGAAATTGCATTCCTTTCAGATAACCACAAGATGGTGTATCATAATTTTTATAAAAATGGTTTTAATTGTGAAGTATATGTTAATGAATCAAGGACACATTGCTTTTTATTTATTCAAACTTTTAAAATACTTAAAAACTTTTCTCATCTGAATGTGTCTGAAAAGGTAACTGATCACCACATGCATTTTATAATTATTTTTCTTTTTGACTTACATCTTCTTTGATTTTAAAGATATGTCTACTGAGGTTTCACTGAGAAAGCAATCCAAGAAACTGTTGTATATCTGAGATAATTATCCCATTTTGGGTGTATGGATTTGGTTGAAAGGCCTTGTTTCCCTCTTCTAAGACTTACTTCTGGCTATAACAAGCTGCTTAATATACTGAATTTCGTTTTCTCTGGTAATATTTATAATATATTGGCTTTGTAGGCAAGAATTATAAGATACCATAATAACTTTAATTTTTATTAAACTTTTATAACATGGATTATTAATGTTTAAAATTATGCATTTCTTAAATATTTGAATATGTCTGCTTTTAACAGACATACATAATTTTTCTTTTTTTAGGTTTTCAGCCAGAACAGCAATATAACTTCTATAGTTTGATCTCTTTATGTGTGTTTTGTATATAGAAATAATATTTCCCATGTATTTGAAAATGTATTTGTTTATACAAATTGTTTTTATTGAACTGTTTGAATATAAATTATTGAGTTTCCTGACATAAAAAAATCTTAAGATGAAGCCAAAAGCACTCCTTATTTTTTAAGTGTAAACTAAGTAAATATGTCTCAGAAATATAAATATATATATTATTGCTCAGATAACTGAATTTGTGCACTAAGGGTCCCATCTTGAACACACATTGTTGTTGTCTTTAAAATGGTTAAAATGTATTTTTAAATCTATGTGATATTGTTTTTTAGGACATAGTCTACTTTGGTCAATATAGTTGTTTCTATTATAGAACACTGGCAAATTTTACCTAAGAAAATCTCTAAATAATTATATTTTTATGGTGCACTGATAGTTCAAAAATATTTTTTGAGGGCACATAGAATATTCTTCAGTGTATAGATGAATAACACATTTGGAATATGGCTGTAAATCAGAGTAGTAGAAGCACAAATGAACAAAACATTTCAATCTGGGGGATGATGAGAACAAAATCAGAGGGTTTAGTTTAAACCCGCAAGACTAGGGATCCTATTTGAAAGGTTATTTACAAGGAAAACACGTAGCAAAGTCAACTAATTCTGTGTTTCATGGAAACAGAAGAATGAAAATAGGTTGTTCACAGATACCTACGTATAAGCTGCTGTTAAAATTTTAAATAATTAATTCTAACAGGAGCAATGCTTTTTCAA